ACCATCCTCTGGAGTCCATTTAAACTCACACCTACTGCTTCGGTGACTTCATCCAGCCACCTCATTCTCTGTCGTCCTTTCTTCTTTTGCCATCAAACTTTCCCAGCATTAGGCTCTTTTCCAGTGAGTCCTTCTTTCTCATTAGGTGGCCAAAGTATTTGAGTTTCATCTTCATATGTTTTAGTCTCCAGTCCCCTAATTATCTTTGTTGCTCTTCTCTGCATTCTCTTCTGCACAAATCAAAAGTCTTAATACAGTAAAATACTATCTACTAAAGGGTTGATCTCAGCCTAGAGGAGATCAACCCTGACTGCTCTTTAGAAAGCCAGATTCTGAAGATGAAACTCAAATACTTTGGCCACCTAATGAGAAGGAAGGACTCACTGGAGAAGAGCCTAATGCTGGGAAAGTTTGAGGGCAAAAGAAGAAGGGAACAACAGAGAATGAGGTGGCTGGATGGAGACACTGAAGTAGTAGGCATGAGATTAAATGGACTCCAGAGGATGGTAGAGGACAGTAAGGCCTGGGGGAACGTTGTCCATGGGGTCACGATGGGTGAGACATGACTTTGCAATTAACAACAACAACAAATCTGGGCATACATTCTCCAGAGAACTTTTATGCAATTCAGGATTAATTTATGCTCAGGCAGAACACCTCTGATATTAAGTCACTCTTCTCTCCTTTCAGACAATCCTTCGCAGGTTGGAAGTGTTTCAGTAACAATAAGAGTCCTGGATATAAATGACAACATGCCCGAATTTCCCAGGTTCTATGAGGCATTTGTCTGTGAAAATGCAAAAGTTGGACAGGTGAGAAGCTAAAACAGTATTTTATATTTAGAACTGGTACCATTATCTACTACCTTTATCCCTAACCTAACATTGTCTCGATATGAACTGCACTCTCTGAAACGTCCGAAGTAGATTTCAAAGGGTACAGTAGCTTATAAGTGCAAGGAATGAGAATATTGCTAAGTCTACGTGTACGAGCACAAGTGTGTCCGTTCCCATTACAATTTCAGTAGAATATATAATACTATGTAATTTAGTATTTAATTTAACTATCTAATTTAAATATTAAATTAAATCCACTGCAATATTTAAAAGAGCAGCAAAGCAGCAGTAAAATTAATTTCCTATTATATCCTCCAAAATGAAACAGAAACGTTAAAATATATATTTCATAGCTAGAATACACAAAAAGGAGGAAGAATCTGAATAAAACACACACACACGATAGATATGTAAAAGCAACTCTTGCCTTTAAATAGATTTACATTTTGTTCGAAATAAAACATATTGATTCGGTCTTCCCATGTTTAGGAGTTTGGATCCTTGCTAGCCCACCTGCCCTCTAACCCAGGGGTGTTAAACTCAAGGCCCACTGGCCAAATCCGGCCCTTGGGGGCTTAAATCTGGCCCGCAGGGCACCCTGGAAACAAGGAACAGCCCATATGCAGCCCTTCTGAGTTCCATTTTCAGCTGGAACAGCCTCTTTGCAGCCTTCTGCCCGTGAAAATGGAACTTGAGCCGCTACAGGAACCTACACAAGGGATGTCA